TTAGCAGATTTATACTCCCGGAAACCTTCAGCAATGTCAGGGGACAAAGCCATGGTAAGAATAGCCAGTGGTTTCTCATCATCTTCAATCTTGTCGACATCCTCATTAGTATAGTCCTCGATTGGCTTATCAACCACAGTTTTATCTTTATCATCCAGAGTGATTGTGATCTTGACTGGACCTCTCAGCAAGCTTCTCCACACTTTGTTATCCTTCATCTTAACATACTTCTCAAATCTGAATTTTTACTCAGGAAATCCATCGGCAGTTAGCAACCGGTGAATTCGAGTTGTTGTCCCCATAACTGAATCAAGATCACTTTGCATTGTTGTAATAGAGGTGTTGTATGAGTCTATTGTAAGTCGAAAGGTATAAGATTTAAACGAAAACTACTGAGTTTGACAGAAAAATCAAAAAATCAAGATTGTTGACCGAAATCCCGTTGACCAAGAACTCTGGTTGACCAAGATCATTGACCAAACATAATGTCAGACTGAAAGCTCTAATCTAAAACTCTGTCTGACTGAAACTAGATGTTTGACCTAGTTGCTGACCGACAACTCTAGTAGCCGCCGAAATCACTTTGACATAGCCGAGAACTTGAAGTTTGCCGCCGAAAACGTCCACACCTGACCGAAAACCCCCAAAAACACCAGAAACACGAAATTGGTAATTTATTAAGACCAATTTCGATAAAAGTCTCCAATGTAGTAAAGAACACGAAGAACAGAAGCAATAATTTTCGTCAAAAGAACTCAAAAACACCAGGAACTCCAAGAAACGTTTAATATTTTGCCAATTTGATTGATACCAATCCTTGCTCTGATACCAATTGTAAAACCCCAATCGAATGTATCAATCCAAATCACTAGATTGGTGCGGAATCCCAATCAAGTGAATGATACAACTCGTAAATATGAAATAAGAACACAATGTTTAATCTTCAATGCACACTATATTAATCAATAGTCTAATGCATAAGACTCTCTATGTCTCTCGGTTCTCTCTGTCTCTCTATTAATCTCGAAATCAACAAGTTAGGATGACTAACTCTGATCACGGCTGAATCAATACAATATATATACCTAGACCTAATTACAAAAGCCCAGCCTAAAGACCAACCGAATTAACTTAGTGATTTCGGTCCAAACACCATCGAATTCATGGTGTTTTCGGTCCTAGACCGAGAACTCTAAAAGTTATGTAAAGTAAAGTATAAACCACAAATCATTTCCCAACAAAGGGCAAGATCTAGTAGACTTCTTGAAAGAAATGACAGATGACCTCTTACCATCAATGATGACTACTCCTAAAGATGTTGATGAACTTCCAAAAGACCCGACCCAAACAACTATAGAAGCGTGGGTGCTACATACTGATGGGGCGTCAAGCAAAGACAGCTCAGAAGCAGGCATTATTCTCACCAGCCCATATGGGGACAAGTCAACCTATGCCCTACAGTTCAAATTCAAGTGTTCGAAAAATGAAGCGGAATACGAGGCTCTGCTAGCGGGGTTATAGTTGGAAAGGAACATGAACATCTCGTATCTTGAAAGGTTCAGTGACTCGATGTTGGTGGTCAACCAAATTAAAGGAACATACGAAGCAAAAGAAATGCACATCCAAAAATACCTGGCGCAAACACATGAAGTGGATCGCAAAGTTTCAAACATTTGAAATCACACTGGGTCGACGATCAAAGAACAAAGAAGCAGACGCTTTAAGCAAACTTGCCTCAATAGCATTCAGTCACCTGTCCAAGACCGTCCTAGTAGATGTGTTTCCAAAAAAACATTGATAAGCCGCAGGGGGAAGCGATGGCGTTAGAGGAGGAAGCCTCATTGATGACACCCTACGTTCTTTTTCTGAAAAAAGACATATTTCCAGAGGATGTGAAAGAAGCAAGGAAGATACAAATTAATGCACCAAATTCTACCATGTACGACGGTCGGCTGTACAGGAGAGGTTATTCTACCCCATGGCTGAAATCTATCACAAGTAAAGAATCGGAGGTTGTAATGCAAGAAGTACTCTCGGGAGTCTGTGGAGATAATGGAGGGTCACGAGCAACCACCCAGAGGATCCTTCGGGCAAGATATTTCTATCCTTCCATGACTCGTGACACAGAGGCGTACATCAAGAAGTCCCACGACTAGCAGATACATGCAAATGTACCAGCACTACCACCACAAGATATGATCAACATCACAAGCTCATGGCCATTCCTCCAGTTGGGAATTGATATTGTCGGTCCTTTCCCTGAAGCAATGGGAAAGCTTAAATTCCTTATTGTGGCAATAGATTACTTTACCAAATGCGTTGAAGCTGAGGCAGTTGCAGTCATAACTAGAGAAAGAATTATTAAATTTGTATGGAGACAAATTGTTTGTTGTTTCGGTTTACCCCACACCATCATAAGTGACAATGGCAAACAGTTTGCCGAGAACCCATTCAAGAAATAGTGCCAAGAAAAAGGGATTCAGCAGAATTTCACCTCAGTGGCTCACCCACAGGACAACAGTCAGGTAGAGGTGACGAATCGAACTTTAGTTAAAGGGATTAAGAAGAGGCTAGGAAAAGCCAAATGGAGTTGGGATGATGAATTACAACACGTGTTATGGGCATACCGAACCACAATGCGGATACTAACAAAATAAACTCCTTTCATCCTGGTGTATAGGATAGTAGCAGTTATCCCTGTCGAAGTAAAGATCCGGACCACGCGAACCAACTACCCACAAGCACAGTCAAACACAGCGAACCTCCGGACAAATCTAGACATATTACAAGAGAAACGGGAAGAAGCAGCCATATGACAAACCAGTTATAAGGCACTGATGGTGTGATACTACAATGATAGTGTAAAAAATATCATTGTGCAAAGTAGGTGATATGGTTTTGTGCAAGAACGAAGCAAGCAGACAAGATCGTATTGGAAAACTGGGTCCAAATTGGGAAGGGCCATATCGATTGATCGAAGTTCGACATAGTGGAGCTTATGTTTTGGAAACATTGGATGGGACACGCTAACCATGGACATGGAACATGCGTAATCTCCATAAATTCCACCTTTAAAAGCGGTATTTAAGATAACCGGAGGGAAAGGAATCAAGTGACGACAACATTTTAGAATCCAAAACTTTTAGTGTTCTTTTTGATGTAATTTGATTACTTATTCTAAATTAATATCTTTCATTCCTTTCAATCCAATCGATTATGAATAAGCAAGTCCATATCTTACAAACATCGCCATAAGCCTCCAAGTTATGGCTCGATGTTCTTATTACTCGAACCTTAGGTTCAAACCTAATTGTTTGAGCAACTTACAAACATCGCCATAATCCGCCATATTATGGCTCGATGTATTTAGTACTCGAACCTTAGGTTCAAACCTAATGGTTTGAGAAACTTACAAACATCGCCATAATCCTCCATATTATGGCTTGATGTTATTATTACTCGAACCTTAGGTTCAAACCTAATAGTTCGAGAAACTTACAAACATCGCCATAATCCTCCATATTATGGCTCGATGTTCTTATTACTCGAACCATAGATTCAAACCTAATGGTTCGAGCAACTTACAAACATCGCCATAATCCTCCATATTATGGCTCGATGTTCTTATTACTCGAACCTTAGGTTCAAATCTAATGGTTCGAGCAACTTACAAACATCTCTATAATCCTCCACATTATGGCTCGATGTTCTTATTACTCGAACCTTAAGTTTAAATCTAATGGGTCGAATAACCTACAAACATCCCCACAATCCTCCATATTATGGATCGATGATCTTATTACTTGAACCTTAGGTTCAAATCTAATGGTTCGAGCAACTTACAAACATCGCCATATTCCTCCATATTATGGCTCGATGTTCTTATTACTCGAACCTTAGGTTCAAATCTAATGGTTCGAGCCACTTACAAACATTGCCATAATCCTCCATAGTGTGGCTCGATGTTCTTATTACTCGAACCTTAGGTTCAAGCCTAATGCTTCGAGCAACATGCAAACATCGCCATAATCTTCCATATTTTAGCTTAATGTTCTTATTACTCGAACCTTAGGTTCAAACCTAATGGTTCGAGTAACATGCAAACATTGCCACAATCTTCCATATTATGGCTCGATGTTATTATTACTCGAACCTTAGGTTCAAATCTAACGGTTCGAGCAGCTTGCAAACATCGCCACAATCCTCCATATTATGGCTAGATGTTCTTATTACTCGAAACTTAGGTTCAAACCTAATGGTTCGAGCAACTTGCAAACATCACCACAATCCTCCATATTATGGATCAATGTTCTTATTACTCGAACCTTAGGTTCAAACCCAATGGTTCGAGTCATATACTAAGAATAGCATTCGGGTAGAACATTTCTAAACCAGACCAACGCTTTAGTCAATACAAAATTAGATGCCAACCATTGCCGATGGAAGAATAATCAAAATCACAAATAACTCTCACAGTTACACAAGTAAGAAGAAAAAGGATTCGAGCAAATAGAGGAAGATCACATTGTCATTTAGCAGAGTGTCATTGCAAGATAAAAAAACCACCCCACAACATTGGCAAAATAAAAGCTACACTTACAAGTTCAAAAGTCCAAATCACTACGAAAACAAGCACAATTCCCGACCCCTAGCCTAATCCAACTTCATCCACCCCAGATGAACCCACAATCATCAGCAATTTATTCAAGCCACCTACATCCATCTCCTCGCTCTCTAGAGTAAACACTAGCGAGTACTTGTATGTTTTCATCTCGGCAAAACGTTCCATAATTTGATGTTGTGCATCTGGGTACGAGTACAAAAGATTCTTACCTTTCAGCTCCTCGATGTACTTTTCTTTCATGTCCATACAGGCTTAACGGAGGCCAAGATGGATAGCGGATGTCTGCAAGGCGGCATTCACGGAACCAAAGTCGCTTGAATCCAGCAAAGCCTAAACAATGATGGGAATTCCTTCCTTTATGACCCCTCACATCTCCTCAGCCTTTTGATCTACTCCCGTCTATCAACTTGCTATATTCTGTTCCATCATAAGTTGTGAGTCGCTCAAGGTGGCAATTCAGGCATCTTTCTCCAACATCAGGAGCTTCACAGCGGCTAACCCCACCTATAGCAATTTAATACTCACATCTTTGCTAGACATGCGATTTCCAACTAAGAAACCTTCTCGGTATACTGCGACTTCAGCGAATGGTACTGTTGAGAGATACCCTCAATTTTTTAACAGTAGATACACGGCGGCTCACAGCATCATCCAACTATAGTTGCAGATCCTGATTCAACTTTTTCAACTCTTCCTGCTGACTGAGGGCTTGACTAAAATCTTTAACCAAACTTTGGTTTCTCTCTGCCAAACCGGCTACCTCTTCCTTCAACCCCTTAGCTTCTTGTTTTGTTTGCTCGTTAAGAGTCTGAAATTGCTTTAACCCTTCCAGAGCTTCCTCAAACACAATTTGATGCCGAGAAAGCTGCTCTGAAAACGCCCTTATGCGTACAGACACTTCGTTCAACAGGTGCATTCCCTTCATCAAACACGATCGAGCCTTATCTAACGCTTCTTCATTAGATGCAAAAGGATGTTAGAACTGGGGAAGTGAAGCAGCAAGAGTGACTAGTATTGGCATTATGGCCTTTTTTCTTGTAATAACAATAGTTGCACAATAAATAAGCAAGTGGATCAGAACAAGGATCTAAAACACATAAAAAGGCAAACATTTACAAAGATAGAAAGGGAACACACGGCTTGTCAAGGGGGAATGATTCGGGACACTGACTTCCATATCTACAGATGTTATTCCTAAAGGTTCTTCATTCCCAGTTGTGGTATCAGATGAAATGAGAATAGGAACAAGGAGTTGGTGGTTGATTCCATAAAGTGACCAAGTCCGGACCCAGAGAGTTTTTGTTGAAACAGAGCCGCAACAGACAAAACCTTGGGGTTTTCTTTCTCCAAAGGGGGATCCTCAGGGACCTTCTTAGGGAGGCCTCCAGTAGCGGTCTCCGATTCTGGTTTGCCCGTATGAGGAACATATGCCTCATCTTCCACACACTTCATCTCGTCGTCCGACTCAATTGGACATTCGTGAAAGACAGTAGTAACAGGATCTTCTGAGGTGCGCTCAAAATTATAGCATTGGGAGCCGAAGGATCAGATAGGTCGTCAGGCTTCAGCTTTTTAATTCATGACCAGAATGCTTCCGCTTAGGAGGGTACATCTTGATCAGTTGATCGTCTTGAGCACTCTCTGAGCGCTTCTTCAGGATGAACCATTTCGATGTAGCCCTTGTAAACACCATGGGAGTCTTGCCCAAATTGGAATCCAATTTCACGCCTTCGAGTGAAGGTTAGGAGGAATAGGTCTAGAACCCTCTGCTCGAGAAACGTCTAGGGCAGAGTCCATGCTAGACTCTGACCTATTCATGGAACTCGGTGCTATTACCTCCTCTGTCACTAGGGTGGAGTTCTGAATATGTCTCCGATGAAGTCGGTCAAGAAGGGTTACATCTTTTCTCTTGAACACCTCTATTGGCTTCTTACACAAACGGTTCCAATGGGGACTCATGCCATACATACCCAGCATCACTTCGTCGGGGTCCGCTCATCGAACAAAATTGTCCGATAGTCTCTCCTTTAATAGTTGCTTGTCGGGCGATAGCTCCGGGACGGTCAGCGGCCCTGTCAGCAGTAGCGTCGTACACCATGGGGCCTGAGAAAGCAGAGGCATGAACGAAAAAGAATTCCTCCTTCCAATACTTTATGGAGCTGGGAAGACCGTCACAAAGTTCCACCAAACCATGGCAAAGGGAGAAAGAAACCCAATCCCCGTTGGACATCGTAATATAGAAATGGCAACATAGGTTGATGGTCGGCGACACATCCAGAGCGACGCATAACAGGGTAAAGCAAAGGATCTTGCAAAAGTCGTTAGGGGCAATTTGGGCGATGTGTAGACCATAATAATCCAGAACAGTTTCTAGAAAATCGAAAGCAGGAAGACGCAACCCAAATTTTGAAGAACACTTGGTAAACCCCCACAAAGCCTTCAGGGGAATCGGTAATGGCATCGTTGGCCTCCAGCAGACGAGGATGGAACTTGGGATCAATATCATACTTCTGAATGAAGCATACCCATAGTCAGAACAGTTAACTTGGAGTTTACCGTCCCAATGTGAGAAAACCCAGTACTCGCCATATTCAGAAAAGAAAACGTAGACGAGAGAAAAGGTAGACAAAAGAAGGAGAAAGAATCTAACTGAAATGCCAATTGGTGAAACGGATGATTCAACACCAAATATTTATAGTAAGTCTAGAACATATGAAAATTTCCGGGCAGACAATGTGGTTGGTGGGTATTGTACCCCTATTAAAGAAATAGCAGATGAAAAGACGGTTATAGGGATCATCATGAGGACTAGCATAACCGTCAACACGTCACGTCGGAGTTAATTTATGATTTTTCGCCCTTATCAGATTATAACGGCTATAATGTCATTCCTTCCAAAGTTTTCATCCCTACTCCACCGATTACATAGAGATACAAACTGGGGGTAATTAATAGGATATAGTCTGGAAGTACCGATATCCTTCCCAAATATACCGAACCAGCATGTCGCAAGGTCGCACAAAGTCACCCGCCCCATATATCTCGAAGTTGCCCGCTTATATACCGAACTGGCACGAAGACTCGAAAGGAAAAGAAAGACTAACGAGCAAGCACGAAGCGACGTCGAAATAGTAGAAATAGTACATTGAAACTGTAACACCCGAAATCTAGAAGGTCGATTAAGGAAAGAACAATATTCAATTAAAAATCCAACTCGTCAAGTCCATAGGTAAGAACTCGACGTGTTGGAAATCAAGGCCGCGTGTTTTTAGAAGACCAACTCGATGAGTTAGGGAGGATCAACTCGACGAGTTGGACAGGGTTTGGGAAACCCTAAATCGGGACTCTGCACCCTATTTGAACAACATATGTCTTAGGGTTTGGCCTCATTTCCAGCCTCCATCGTCCCAAAGCCTAGCCTCGAAACCCTAATGCACTTTTGAGAGTTTTAAGCTAATTTTTGTGCATTCTTGGTGATTTTGAAGAAGAAGGAACTTGAAGAAGGAGCAAAGACGTGTAAAAGGATTGTAGATCCAGAAGTTGGGCGGCATTTCTGATTCACTTGAGGTATAAAGCTTCAACCTTGTTTAGTTTATGCTTAGATCTCCTCCTTCGGATCATTTTGCTTGTTTTGGTCACCTTGGAGTGTGTAATCGAAGTTGGATGTTCTATTGAGGCAAAACATTTCAGATCTATAGTCTTGAGGGGTTATCATGGAATAAAGGTGCCAACTTTATGGCCCTAGAAGCCTCATGCAAACCCTAAGCCCTTATTTTTGTAACCGATTTTAAGCATATAGATACATATATATATATATATATATATATATATATATATATATATATATATATATATATATATATATATATATGTGTGTGTGTGTGTGTAGAATATCATGGGTCATGTGTAACCCTAATCCATACACATTAGCCCATGACCCATCCATTTGATTTGGATAAATACCTCATGGATTAACCCATAAGACCATCACAAATCAAACCATGGATCTTTTAGCCCATAGTCCGAACAGTTAACTTTGATTTTACCGTCCCAATGTGAGAAAACCCAGTACTCGCCATATTCAAAAAAGAAAAAGTAGATGAGAGAAAAGGTCGACAAAAGAAGGAGAAAGAATCTAACTGAAATGCCAAATGGTGAAACGGATGATTCAACACCAAATATTTATAGTAAATCTAGAACGTATGAAAATTACCGGGAAGACAATGTGGTTGCTGGGTACTGTACCCCTATTATAGAAATAGCAGACGAAAAGACGGTTATATGGATCATCATGAGGACTAGCATAACCGTCAACACGTCACGTCGGAGTGAATTTAGGAGTTTTTCGCCCTTATCCGATTATAACAGCTATAATGTCGTTCCTTCCAAAGTTTGCATCCCTACTCCACCGATTACATAGAGATACAAACTGGGGGTAATTAATAGGATATAGTCTGGAAGTACCTATATCCTTCGCAAATATACCGAACCAGCATGTTGCAAGGTCACACAAAGTCACCCGTCCCATATGTCTCGAAGTTGCCCTCTTATATACCGAACTGGCACAAAGACTCGAAAGGAAATGAAAGACCAACGAGCAAGTACAAAGCGACGTCGAAATAGTAGCAATATTACATTGAAACTGTAACACCTGAAATCTAGAAGGCCGATTAAGGAAAGAAAAATATTCAATTAGAAATCCAACTCGTCGAATCCATGGGGAAGAACTCAACGTGTTGGAAATCAAGGTCGCGTGTTTTTAGAAGACCAACTCGACGAGTTAGGGAGGATCAACTCTACAAGTTGGACAGGGTTTGGGAAACCCTAAAATCGGGACTTTGCACCATATTTAGACAACATAAGCCTTAGGGTTTGGCCTCATTTCCAGCCTCCATCGTCCCAAAACCTAGCCTCGAAACCCTGATGCACATTTGAGAGTTTTGAGTTAATTTTTGTGCATTCTTGGTGATTTTTAAGAAGCATGAACTTGAAGAAGGAGCAAAGACGTGTAAAAGGACTGTAGATCCAGAAGTTGGGCTGTATTTCTGATTCTGTTTAGGTATAAAGCTTCAACCTTGTTTAGTTTAGGATTAGATCTCTTCTTTAGGATCATTTTGCTTGTTTTTTGTCACCTTGGAGTGTGTAATGGAAGTTGGATGTTCTATTGAGGCAAAAAATTTCAGATCTATAGTCTTGAGGGGCCATCATGGAGAAAAGGTGCCAACTTTATGGCCCTAGAAGCCTCATGCAAACCCTAAGCCCTTATTTTGACCCTTTTAAGCTCCATAAGGGCACGCATGTGAGTAAAGTTCGAGACTTTACATGACCTTTAAGCCTTTAAGGTCAGGATCTATATCCTTGCGCATTGTCTTCAAGATATAAGGATTTTTTGAGTGAAGCTATAGCCTTTTTGGGTTAGGGTTTGAGATTATTCTCTTTAGGAAAGGATTAATGGGTAAAGTTGGAAACTTTACCCTTCTGAAAGGTATTTCCAGTCTAGAACTAGAGTATTGGGTTCAGATCTGAAGAATCAAGGATTAATGCATTAAGGAGGAGTAAACAGACTAAAGATCTCGACGAGTTCACGAAGGAACTCGGCGAGTTGATGTGAGTATGACCCGATTCTGTTAAAAAGGAAAGAACTCGACGAGTTAAGGGAGAACTTAACGAGTTGATACGTAGTATCACGATTCTGTGGTTTGTGGGAACTCACCGAGTTGAGTCAACTCGGAGCGTTAACTTTGACTTTGACTTGAATGTTGACATTGACCTTGACTTGACTTTGACCAAGGTTGAACCCCGTAGGGTTATGAAGTACTGAATGGGTTCTAAAGGGTAGTTTCATGTAAGGGTTGGGCCCAATTTGGAAAATTGGGCCAATGATGGACTTTTATGGATTTTATAGTTTTGAGCCTTGTTGGTTTTAGGCTTGGGCCTTAGTTATGAATCTTGTTGGGCCAAGGGTAAAATGGTCATTTTACCCCAAGTATGGATTATGGATCATGGTTTGGGACCCAATTGCTAATTGGGTGATATTTTGGTATTGATAGTTCGACGAGTTGCCAGGGCAGCAGCTAATGATTTCTTGCAATGGACTTCAGCAGTGTGAGGTGAATTACCTTCCAGTAGAAGTAGTTCTAAGGCACCAATGCCGGCCCACTAGTGTTTGTTTAAAGTAGAGATGATTGTATTTGTGATAATTGTCTGGTATGCCACTATCTGTAGAGATTTATGTGCTTGTATGCTGTTTTATTATGTGGTAGTGGTAGGATGGGTGGGATAGACCCCGTAACCAGTTGAGACAAACCAGAGGCTAGGTTTGGCACCCAGATATGCCTGACAGTATGTTTATGATATGTTATTATTTGGTAGTGGTAGGGGTGAAATAGTCCCCGTAAGCGGTTGAAATAAACCGGAGGGTAGGTCGGGCACCCAGATATGCCTGGGAGGGTAGGTCGAGCACCTAGATATGCTTGACAGGGGTAGGTCGGGCACCCCGGTATGCCTAACAGGGTAAGTCAAGCACCCAAATATGCTTGACAGGGGTAGGTCGGGCACCCCGGTATGCCTAACAGGGTAGGTCGAGCACCCATATATATGCTTGACAGGGTAGGTCGGGTACCCAGATATGCCTGATAGGGTTGCATGGGCACCCAGATATGTCTGGCAGTATGTGTTTTGTGGTATGATGGGGAACTCACTAAGCTTCGTGCTTACTGCTTTCAGTTTTCGTTTCAGGTACTTCTTCTTCAAAAGGAAAGGAGTCGGCATGATCGCAGAGAATCACACTATGATTTTCCGCACATGAGATCTTTGGGAGTTGTACTCTTATATTGTTTCCTTATGACATGTTTTGGTTATTGACGTATTGGTTTGGATTATGATATGGGATGACACTATCGATGTTTTCAGACTACTGTTTTATAAATACTTAATTAAAAATGAAATTTTTGGTCATGAATTTTAGGATGTCACTGTTAGATTTTATGTACTCTAACATTCCTATGGTGCACATACAACCCTAATGCTTTGGATCTAAGTTTTCTCTAATTATACATGCAATAAATATTTTCCAAATCATGAAGCCTAAACTAGCATGCAAGGTGATATTTGAATCATAAAACTAGTCAAAATATTACCTTGTGTAGTAGCTTGAATAACTTGGCCTCAAGAAATCTTAGCACCCCAAGTGTGATGCCTCAAATGGAATCACAAAACACCAAGAACAATTAGGATGGACATGGAAAGGTTATGGAGACTCTAAAATCGGTTCTTACTTCTTGGAATGTAAGTTGTAACCTATTTTAAGCTTATAGATACATATATATATATATATATATATATATATATATATATATATATATATATATATATTATATATCTGTGTGTGTGTGTAGAATATCAAGGGTCATGTGTGACCCTAATCCATACACATTAGCCCATGACCCATCCATTTGATTTCGATAAATACGTCATGGATTAACCCATATGCCCATCACAAATCCA